GCATCCATGAGTGGGTGCACGAATACATGACGAGTGGGTGGGTGGGTGGGTGGGAGGATGAGTCTGTGGGTGGATGGAAGTGTAGATAGGTGGGGCATTAGTGGGTGGCTGGGTGACTGGGTGGGAAGATGTGTCAAGTGAGTGGACGGGAAGATGGATGGATGAATAGATACTCTCCCTTCTGAGAATCAGAGAGCAGAATTGTTTTCTTCCCCTCCCCGAATGTACATGGCTCCCGGGAAGCAGACAGATATCCAGGGTGAGGAGGCCTCCCCAGGCAGAAGAGCAACTGCAAGTGGGAGCCGCCCTTTGAGAGCTAAGAGGATAGGTAGTGGCTGTGCCGATCTACGTGCTTGTTAGAGAGGTTCCGTTACCCGCTGGCACGGGCCACATGCTGTCACCACAGCCTGACCCTGTGGAACCCAGCACCCAGAGGACGTGTGCGACCTGCAGCGGTCCTGGAAGTGCACACGCCAGTGGGGCTTCCAGCGAGGCTAGCGATGATTCCTGGTGGTGACTCCTGGCTGGCCGATTTCTGTACCTGGTTTCTCAGGAAGGGACCGGTCAGGAGCCCTGGGGAAGCCCTTCCTGTGTCAGCTTCGTTGAGGGGTGCTGTATGGTTGGAGGGGCTGCTGGAGTCCCTCGTGCATCTGCCTTCTCATCGGTCGGCCTCTCCCTGCCGTTGTGACTTCATGTCTCTGTCATACTCTGGGGCCTGGCTTCTCTGTGTGCAGAGCACATTTTTACCCTGGGCCCTTCATGGGATACTGGGGTGCGTACTGTCTCCCACCCTTCCTGCCGGGGAAGCAGCAGGAAGAGGGGCTTCCGCCGATGGCTCCAAATGGGAGTCCTGGTGCTCTGAACAGGCCCAGGATGCAGACGCTCCCCCTCCATGATCCCTGCCCTTGGGGACACCGGTCTGTGAGGGCCATGAGGGGCTGTGACAGGTGTGGTCAGCAGCGCAGAGGCAAGTCAGTGAGTGGTGTTCCAGGGGCCACTCCAGGGCCTGGGCAAGGGCAGCAATGGACAGCAGGCAGCATGGGGTTGGGGCAACAGGGCCCTCTGGAGAGGAGACCCTGGTGTATTCTGGAAACGGCCTATGTCTGGTTGAATTTGGGAGCTTGTGAAGAATTTTCGCAGAAGGAAAGGTTGGAGGAGAAAGTTTTTTATTTCATCAGATACATGCAGGGTTCAACCTGGAGAACAGGGGTCAAGGTCAGAGTCAGAAAAGTGGCCGTGGTGGAATTTTCGAGCAGGAAGGTTGTGAAGGAAGCTAGCTTGCTGTGAGGATAGGTGGTGGTGGATGGGCCGAGGTACAAACAGTGGGCGTGTGGATGGGACGGGGTTGGGGGGGGGGGGCAGCCTCACAGGCAGATCCGAGGCAGTGACTGAGGGTATTTGTAGCCGAGGGAGAGAGAAGGGAGGCGATGACTCATGGGTTTATTTGAGATCCCTGGCGCTGACTTTGGGGAGATTTCAGTGGAAGGCTGGAGGAACCCCTGGTGTCAGTTTTTGGCAGGAGGCTCTGGTCAGTGTGGGCCGAGCTCTCCTGGCTGGGGGTCTCAGTTCTTGCACCTCAACTGCTGTTCCGCAGTCATTACCCAGCTGTATGTCCAGGAGTTGTCGAGGGCCAGCACACATCCTGCACTCGGTGCCTGAGTAGAGAGATGAGAATGCTGGTCCAGGGTGGCAGCCAAGGTCAAAGTGGAGAGCACCTCGGGGGCGTTGGTGGCCCTGCAGCCTCTCAGGTGGAGGGCCCGGGGCTGGTACGACCGGTGTTGTTTCGCTGTGCTTCCTTCACGGGGGTGCAGGGCATGCCTGATGCAGCCCCCAGCCTCAGCCTGGAAGGATGAGGTGGTTAAACTGCCCACAATGGAGCAGCTCGCCCTCCTGTCCCTCTGAGCTCCTGGGCGCGATCTGCAGAATTCTGGCAGGGAGGTGGCCATGTGGTCGGCTGGACCAGGGTCCCCTTGGTTCTGGGGCTGACTCGCTCCCCCCTGCATGTGAGCACGCACGGCATCCATCAGACCCGCTGGCGGGTCACATGGTTCTCTGCCTGCCGCCCGTTCGCTGCTTCTCCGCAGCTGGTGGAGGTGGAGGCTCAGACCCCCGTCTGCAGAGCCGTCTACTTCCCGGGAACCGGGGGGCGTGGAAGCCCCGCCTCCTTTTTCAGCACCTTGCACCATCACACCGACTAAATGGTTGTCGTCCGGTGCCAGGGCTGCCCCACCACCCGAGGAAGCTGCCTGGCTGGGTCATGTTTGCGTTTGAGGAATTCAGGTACGTGCTGCTTTCTTCCGCAGCCCTGCTGCTGGGTTTTTGTTCTCACTGCTGCCGTTTTGCTGTGTAATGTCAGCATCGCTCTGGCAGGGCCTTCCAGGAAAGGGGGTTCGCCTGGGCATTTGGCGGGGTCGATCCAGCCGTGGGAGGTGCCCAGGTGTCCAGGCTGGGCTGTGCAAATCCCTGCCTGCAGAGGACAGTGTGGAAAATCGGTCTTCTCGTGTGCAAATTTGCCCGGACCCCGCCTCGTGCCTCCTTTGAGCCTCGCTGGTTGGAGTTGTGCATACAGACCAGCAGCTGTTTATTAGGGACGAGTCTCTTTTGCATCTTTTGTTTTTCTCCTTTGTCACACTCCAGTCCGTTGCCCATGGCTCTTTTTCCAACATGCCGCGTGTGGCTGCGAGGCCGAGGACCCTGCAGGGCTGGCTCTGCAGAGCAGAGACCCGAGCTTGGCCCTGGGCCCTGTCAGCTCGGCCCTGGGCCCTGTCCTGATTCTTCCCCGTCTTGGCCCCAGACTGTTTTTTTGGGGAAGGGCTCTGGTGTTTTGTTCACAAGCCCTTGGCTTTTGTGAGCTTTTCAGCTGCTGTAATTACCCGTGCTCCACATTTGCATCGTTTGTGACGCCTGCCCTTCCCTTTCTTCCTTGCCTTCCTGGGGATGGGGATCCACCCCTGGGCGTGACTGTGGGAAGGAATGATCCCCCACAGCTTGCTTCTAGGAAATGGGAAAAGAAGGAGGCGGATGGGAGGGCCAGCTGAGCTTTCTTGTCCGTCTTTCCACGGCTTTGGAGCGCATGTGTGTCTGTGTGTGTGTATGCGCGTGTGTCTGTGTGTACACGTGTGTGTGTGCATGCATCTGTGTGTGTCTGTGTACGCATGTGTCTGTGTGTACGCGTGTGTGTGTCTGTATGTGTGTGTGTCTGTGTGTGTACGCGCGTGTGTCTGTGTATGTGTGTGTGTGTACGCACGTGTGTGTCTGTGTACGCATGTGTGTCTGTGTGTGTACGCGCGTGTGTGTCTGTGTGTGTATGTGCGTGTGTCTGTGTGTGTACACGTGTGTGTGTGCATGCATCTGTGTGTGTCTGTGTACGCGTGTGTCTGTGTGTACGCGTGTGTGTGTCTGTATGTGTGTGTCTGTGTACGCGTGTGTCTGTGTGTACGCACGTGTGTGTCTGTGTACGCGTGTGTCTGTGTGTGTACGCGCGTGTGTGTCTGTGTGTGTACACGTGTGTGTGTGCATGCATCTGTGTGCCCCTCTGGTAGCTTCTCATTTTTCAGATGTATTTTAGAGCTGAGCAAAAATCCCAATCTTGATGGGCAGAGGGATGTGGGGGAGTCCTCGCCCTGCCTCGCCAGGCCTTTTTGTTCCCTCCAAATGCTGCTGCAGTGGACGTGACATTGATACTGGGCTGACTACCTCTGATTTTTAAGAGGATGTAGGTGCCCTTCCGTCAACGGGGAAGAATAAGAGGGTCATTAGGTTTTCTGGAGTACGCTGTCAAGGAGGTCCCACCTTTTTCCTTAAACTTCAGCCCCAGGAAGCCCCCCTTTGTCACAGAATGGCTCTCTGCATGGCCTGTGATGGGTCTGGACCGGGAACAGAAGCCCTTGGCATGTGGCAGTGTGGCCAGGTGACCTGAGGCAGGTGCCGTACGGCATGGCCAGGCCTTACCTCACCATCACTCCTTCAGTTGTTAGCATCATTTATTTACTGGTTGGCACACTCCAGTAGACAGGGCCTTTGGGAAAGAGCCCATAGTCCTGGGTGCTAATCCTAGTTTTGAAATTAGCTTTCCTGATTCTTGGGAGAGTTGCTAAATGTTGGAAGTAGCACAGTCCTGCTATTGCTGTTGTTGTTGTTGTTGTGTACCGTCGAGTTGGAACTGCCCATAGCTTACCTGCTGGCGGGTTTTCAGAGGCCTTTAATTGCATGGGAGGTGATTGCCCATCCTTCTCCCGTGGAACGGCTGGTGGCCTTGAACTGTGTGCCTTTGGGACGGCAGTGCAGCTTCCTGCCACTATTGCTAGCATTTAGTCCAAACACAGTAACCTCAGCTGCCTCCTCAGTGTTTGGAGCCTTTCATTTCAGAGATAGGCAGAGGGATACATGAGGGACACTAGTGACAGGTCCGAGCTGAGAGCTGGAGCTGGTGGGAGTGCAGGAGATAGAGGCCAGTGAACTGGTGCGCTGAGAGAGAGGGGCCATGGCTTTTGAAAATAGACCCCAAAGAGGGAGGTGTGTGAAGGCCAGCCCTGGGCTTGCGCTGCCGCTGGCCCTGGAGCACCATGCCGAGCGTGGTTGTGTTTTGTGACAGCAGTTTGGGCCAGACAAGTGCTTTCTTCTCTAGTCGAGAGGGTTGTGTGCTTGGTGTGAGCCAGGTGGTTGAAGTGGGGCGACCCGGGGCTCAGAAATGCTCAGCTCGCCAGTGTAGGTGTGACGGTGGTTCAGTGGGCGCCGGCTAGCGTGTGCGAGATCTCACGGCACTGGGCCCACTCCAGAGTCAGGTTCAGGGAGTGCCTGAGACAACTCTTACAAGTTCCAAGAGATTCTGATGCTGCAAGGCTGGGCCTGAGACACTGTGAACCACCAGCTGAGGACACCCACACACACATTAACGCTGCTTAGACGGAAAGCCTGTAACCCAGGCCCAGGTAGGAGAGCCATCACGGTCAGCAAGGGACAGCTCAGGTCCAGCAGGTGGGCCGGAGCCGCCAAGCAAGCTCCAGAGGGTTTTTTCTGGACCCAGGCAGTTAGATGACACAGCATTGCCCGTCCCCCTCCACTGTTGTTGCTGTGTGCCGTTGATTTAGAACCAACCCGTAGCTGACCCTCCAGCAGGTTTTCAGAGGCAGTAAATCACACGGGAGGAGTTTGCCCAGGTGTCTCCCGCGGAGCAGCTGGTGGATTTGAACCATGTGTCTTTGAGATTGCAGAGCAGTTCCTTGCCACTAGGGCCACCAGAGCTCCATCCTTTTCTTTCTCCTTCTCCTCCTCTTGGTAGGTTTTACCAAATAGAAGAATGGGGTATTGGGAGGAGAATCCAAGAGCTTGGTTTACAACCATGTAGCTTACTTTGCACAAATAATGTGCACAGTATGTCGACTGCTTTGTAAAGCACGCCACCGCCTCCTTCACTGGTTTCCTGTGAGCCGTGCACGCCGTGGTGAGCCGTGCACGCCGTGAGCATACACCTTATTTAGGTGGGTGTGTCATAGGCAGGAAAACACGTACCGCTGTGTGGACTTGGCAGACCCCTTGGTCTTTGTTTCCAATTTCTCAATTGAAAAGTGAGGACAGTAGTCTTGCCATGAACAAAAAATCCATCACACTGTTAATTAAACGAGATCATTAACATAGAAATCATTAGCTCTACGGGTTCTTCCGCTGTTTCTGTATGAGGAGAGGAGGGGAGCCGCTCCCTGCGGGGCGCCCCTGTGTCCCAAGCCTGGCCTCATGCACAACATGCCACGTTCACCCTGGAAAGGAGGGCTGGTTTCCACGTGGACATGCTGCCGTGACCATACTTGCTGCTGGACTTTGTTTCCTTAGTTTCACTCACCCTCAGGCCTTAATCAGCCATCAGCGTCGTTCTAAGGGGCTTTAACAGGAAAGGAGACCCACGCTTTTTGGGGTGCAAGCCTGAGATTGGCATCATAGGGTCACCTGGGCCATCCGTGAGGACCAGAAGGTAACAGCTGGTCTCGAGCGTGTGAGATCGTCCGTCATGATTCCTGAGGAACTGTGCGATGAGCTCACTGCAGTGTGGGATTGACAGGGATGCCCTTCGGCCTGGAGCCCGAGCTGGGGAGTGGCAGGAGCCTCAATCCAAGCCGGGCCAGCACTCGCCAAGCGCTTTGCCGGCTGGTGACTCCCAGCCCGGGCTGCTCCTACACCAGGCAGGTGTCCTCGAGGGCCATGTGGCTTCACGCATGTGTGCGGTTGCTTGGCTTGTTTCTTTCCTCAGTATGTACTGACCCTACTGACCACTGATGGGCTCAGGAAGCAGTGTCCTGCTCCTTGAAGCTCCAGTTAGCGCTCTTTCTTTATTAATTAATATGCTTATCTTTATTAATTTACATCTGTTGTTGTTAGATGCCATCGAGTTGTGACCCTGTGAACAGCAGATCCGCACCCTGGCCTGTCCCGTGCCGTCCTCACGGTCTCTGACACACCTGAGCCCGTTGCAGCCGTCACTGTGTCATTCCCTCTGGTTGAGGGTCTTCCTCTCCTCCCCACGCCCCCTCTGCTAGCACCATGCCTTGAGTATGTCAGTGGAAGCTTCACCATCCTTGGCTCCCAGGAGCACTCCGGCTGCATCCTCTCCAAGACATGTCTGTTCTTCAGTTCTCTTCTCCGACACCACAACTCACAGGCATCCTTTCTTCTTCTGTCTCGTCTTAGGAGATGTTAGCACTTGTCCCTTCACTGCCATATCGTTGGAAACAAGTGCCGTTGGGGAGGGCTTGAACTGTGGGCTCCTGAACACCCCACCCAGCCACGAGGACCATAGACCAGCCTTGTCTTTCTCATCTCTCAGGGCCCTGCAGCCCACAGAAGGTGCTTTTAGGGACATGTGGCTTCCATACTGAGCTGAGGAAAGTCTGGGATGAACAGAAGGTAGAAACTGGACTTGAGAAGGCATGGTGAGGGTCACAGCACCTGATCTTTGGATGCCAGGGCACGCTAGTCGTTTTCACATAGCATCCTATACATAACTGAAATCAGAGACGTGTGGCTACAAGACCGTCACCTCCAGCCCGTTCCTGTCCCTGAGCTCGGGTCCCACAGAGCCACCACGTGGCAGCTCTCTCTGGAGTTCTGATCAACAGAACGTGAACCCCCAAACCCTCTACCGAGGGTCAGTTCTGACTCCAGGTGACTCTCCCCCTAGCAGGTTTTGGAGGCTGTAAATATTTTT